AGATAGTTCGACACGTCGATGGAAAGACGCGAAAGCGCAAAAATGCCCCACCATTGCCGAACAGCGCCTATCAAACCATTTGCTTTACGAGATGTTCAAACTAGAGGCATCAGGGCTTGGAAGGCACGCCCTGATAAAAAAGTTCAATCGTCCCATTCGCCCGTCATAAAGCCATGCGATTACAACTGTTCTATTCAGTGAGAGTACTCTCCGACGGCAGACGCTACAATGTTTTGTCATTTGCCGAAATTGGCAACAACAGCAATTTACCCACACTTGTTGAAAAATCGAAGGTACCAGAGGTCCAAAGGCCCTCGGGGCACTGGGAGCGGGTCATTGGTGAAGGAGGGATTTACTCATCCTAAAGCTAAAATATCACTTTTCTATCTATTCTCCTCTTTGTTTTATTCAAAAAAAACCAGCGGCCAGTTTGAATGGGATGACCTAATACCTTCTTGTAGCATTACTTTGCTTTCAGAAGACTAAAAATTGACAGCTGACCATTTTGGTGCCCTCTCCCCCTTCTCCACATTTCAATCACCGCGCAGTCTTTGCTTCAGGGGTGGGGGGGGGGCAGGGGGAGATGAGCCTCAAAATGTTCCATTTCCCAAAATTTGTGAAATAAGTCTACTTACTCTCAGCTCTCTTGTACACATTAGCCTTTGTGTGACTGATTCAGTTCATACCTTATTTTGGTTCTTTCAGGACGCCGCCAAACTTACTCTGGTGTCGCAGGAATCACCCCCATCAGTATGTATGTTGACTGCGCTCAATTCGTACGGGCTTGTTTCTTCATGTGATATTTCTGATGACTCGTCCATTTTGTGTATAGGGTAAGACATTCGTCACTGCAAGTTCTAACCAATTTCCAGTTCGGTTCTAAAGATACCTCCTTCACAGGTCTTCGGATGGCTCTATAGAACTCACTGCTTTCGACGAGGAGCAGAAGTTGAAAAAGCTGCGGGATATGGATGCACTAGAAAGAGTAGGTGATTTTCCTTAAGCTGAGGCCTAATAAGAGTATCGCCATTTCTCTTGATGTTCTGCAGATCGATACTGATGCGGATAATGTCTCGGATCTGCTCTACGATGATGCTAATGCCAAGTCAGAAGTGGTATTGCACGTAAGTGTCATAGAGCTATTTTTCCTTTTTGTGGTGGCTTCATAAACTTTCGCTCCTTTAGGGCCATTCTGGAGTTGTGTATTCAGTTCACTTTTCTCCTGACAATCGCCTTTTGGCTTCATCTTCCTTGGACTGTACAATTAGGTTGTGGAGTTTGGAGACACAGAAAAACGTTGTGGTCTATCGACTCAGTCGTCCTGTTTGGCAGGTTTGAACGATTTTGTTTTAATCGAAGCATATCCCGCGCTAAGCCGTCGAAAACACCTTAGGTTTGGATTGAAAACGGAATTTCTAGTTTAAGTTATCCGTCAAGTAAAAAACAAATAAAGATATCAAAAAACGCCATAGTTAAGGGGATGTGAGCGTCACTCGCTAGTCGCGGATGGTGTGGCCAAATAGGTGCTGCAAGCAGATAAAGCACGGACACGTACGGAAAATTCGCACTAGGACCCTATTCACTCGGCGTGACAGCTTTGCTGCGCACCGACTCTCTCTTCGTCCGCGTTTCTCAAAACGACTAGCTTTCTCTGGGTGCCTATCAGCTAGCTAAGAAATAGTGGGCGCTATTTTGGACTGGGTTGTCGCTCCGCACCCCATACGTTCTTCCTTATTCCAAGCGAGAGGCGAAC